GAGGTGGAGTGCTTTTTTGTACTTTTTTAAAAAAAATCAATAATTTAACATTTTCGTTATCTTTATTCCTTTTTATCATGTTTATAACTTATTGATTTCATTGGAGTATACATATCTTGCATAAATGTATTTTCAACTCACGGTGTTCCCCGGCACATTCTCAACTTATATCGTCATTATTATTACCACATCATTCGCAGACAGGTAATATATGTTCAATTTCACAAGTAAAATACGGATCTATAGACAATATATTACATGACAGCCCGATAGTTCATCTTTCGTTCCCAACAGATTGTTTCTGTCATCCTCAACACTTGGTCATGACAAATTGTATGAATAATTTTCGACAGTTCATTACATTTGAGTAAAGTACACTAAAAATTTCAGCATAACAAATATTCGAATACACATCATTATGTACATACATTATCACGTGAATCTCTGACAGAAATTAGAGACCATAAATATAGCCTACACATAAGTATAATAGTTGCAAAATCAACAAATTTAGCTATGTTATCATTGAATTTCACCTAGGAGCACATGACATCTAAGCAATGGTTACAGCAAACTAAAATATTTGTACGCATCACTAATTGAAACTGTAAAATATTTTAAAACTATTGTGAAACAAATACATTCAAAAGAACTATCACGTCATTAACTACTTAAAACAATTGTTATGTTATCTTTGAGAATATGTAACTATTTCCCTAGTTAACTCCTACAATGTATCTGATATGTTGTTTAATTTAACGTTGGTTGACTTTCTATCTACTCCCCCTTGTGAATGGAGTCCTATAGTTCACAAATATAACTTAATTATGATCAAAGAGTTTGGATTATGACTTAATTCTATGTAATTATGTTTTGTAGGACTATATTGATGAATGTGGTGAAATTCAAGAAAAAAAGAAACGAAAAAGAACCAAAGGAAGAAAATTCAAAGTATGAGGACTAAGTTGCAACATTTCAATAGTTGATTCGGACCACAAAATGAAGATTAAAGATGTTACGGGTTCAATTGGATGCAATTAAAAGTTAAAGGGTTGAAAATGCAAGAGAAAGGGCTTAAAAGAATCAAAAATCGACTTCAGGGGCTAAAATGCAATATATGGAAGAAATTTTGTGTGGGTGACATGCCATTTATAAATACCGACCGATCGCCCAACATGACTTTTTAATTATCGAGAACAAATTCTTGGCCTGAGCCACTGCTCGAGTTCGCCCAGGCCAATCGCGGCGAAAAAATCTGATTTCCTTTTCTGATTGAAATTCTTATGGAAATAAATCTTGGGGAATATTTTAAAGTCCTAGGGACGTCCAAAAACATACACCACGCATTTTAACACATTCATAAGGGTTTTTAGAGAGGAGAACAAGACAAGAACGAGAAGATTGACATCAAGACGCAAGGATTCAATTCAAGATTTAAAGCGGTAATATCTTTTCTTTATTATTTAGTTTGTTTTCTTCTTCCCACCATGTTAGGCTAAATATTTTTATGTGCTAGGAGATCGACGAACCTTGTAATGTGATTTTTAATTCCTTGTTTCATATTTTTTATATTACAACACGTTTGATTATTTTGAATGATTTATATACATTTAATTTCTTTTGCAATTAAAGGCTCGTAATTGTGTGAGTTTGTGTGACTTATTTCTTGCATTCGAGAGAAGGGAAATATGTTCGACGAGGTATAAATCATCGTAAAGTCCGATAGAGGATAGAGATATACCGCTATGTTCTGCGTGAATCTTTAAGTGCTAATAAAACTACATGCATTCTTATATATTTGCACCCGTCATAGAGATAGGCTGGTGGTATATGATAGTAGGTTTAGCATTACTCAAGAGAGAATGTTGGATAGACTTAGGAGCATTGATTCTTCAAAATTTCATCGTGTTGTCAATTTGTGAAATTAGGATTAAATTGAACATTACTTGGGAATTCACGATTCTAGTACACTATACAATCATTGAATACATTAAATCAAGTTTTCAACATTTAATAGTATTTTAGTTCATTAAAGCATCTATTTGAATTTTGTTCATTACACGCATAAATAATTGCGTAATTAGCTTAGGTTAGGGAGTAATTAGGATATAAAATCACTTGTTAAAATATAGGTTCGGTTAAGGCCTGGATAAATAAAATTGAACTAAATCAATCTCTGCGGGACGATATTCGGACTCAATTTATCCACTTCATTACTTGTTAACGAACCGTACACTTACGGTGGTTTAAATGGAAAGAATAATTTCGTGAACACTAGTCAATGCAGCAGGCACTCGAACACGTGTCGATCGTTGCATATTTATGTTAACATTATCGTCACCTTGAACGGGTATGATTGATGCCAATGGTACATCAGTGTATACTTCTATGCAAAAGTGGTTTAAGTTGTATTAGGTACTAAAATTTAGGCCCTGTTTGAGCCTCATTCTTACCTCATTAAAATGAAAAATATGATTGTTATCCACCACATCAAACCATCATTTTTGAATTTTCATGTCTTGTGTGGAGCCCATAACGGCTCTATTTTTCATTCTCATTCTACAATAATGTGGCTCAAACGGGGTTCTTAATAATGGAAGAAAATAACAGATTTTACCAAAATTTGAAGTATAACATCGAAATGATACATTTATCTTTAACTAAACATATTTAACGTAAAACATAAGAATTTGACATTGTATAACTACCCAACTCCGGAACTTACCGTTTGCCACAAGCATAGGGAACTTCGTGACTGTCCAGTCATGTACCTTTCTGTTCGACACCTTCATACGAAATAATCAAGTTTTAAATGCCAAGGTTAAGAAATCAAAACATTCTAATATTTGTTTTTTAAAGCTGAAAAGTAGCAACACAAACCAATTACCTCTTTTACTCATCTAGACAATGGCTCTTTCGGTAGTTTGGACTGCCAACTTTCAGGTCAGTATTTTCATATGAAACAACCATGTTTGAAATCATGAAGATAAAAACTTCAAACAGTGGGACAAATGCATTTTTAAATTAAAGTGATAATACGTATCAATCTCCTCATTTATCTAACTAGTCGATGGACCCTCCTATAGTCCAGGCAAGCACCTTTTGGGTTGGTGACTTCTCTATCTAGAATGACAGTTTATCTCTACAGATGGACTCATAACTATTATGTCTAACATTCATGAAGTAATAATGGTGCTCAAATGAAATGTTATACATTTCAACCCCTAAAATCAAGGGTAGAAGACAAACTTAACAAAATTTGGCTTCTACAATCAACTGTCGAGAATTTCAGAACCTAACTGTTGACAGATGATTTCGCTACTGTCAGAATGGACATTATATTTCACATTCATATTGGTTTTCTAAGACATGAAGGGCCAAGTTATGACAAACATGATATGTGTTATACTTATAGCTTTCAATAGCATTACTTTTCATATACTCAGCCATAGATTTTATATATAAATGCAAAAACATTTTCAAGAATGAAAATAGAATGATCCAACATTTCAAACAACATTCAAATAACTCGAAATAATCATATAAAAACACATTTAACCGAACTTATTTGTGCATGTTGATCAGAATATACCAAATTCAATCTTAGCTCATTTCACAAACTCAAAAATTAAACTCAAACTCAATTTGCCTAATAATGACCAATAACCATTATTTACATAAAAGAAAAATGAAAAACATAATTGTAAGAAATAAATTCATAGATAAATTATATAAACCAAAATGTTAACATTTTCATAGCACTAGAAAAATAGACAATAAAAAAGAGAGATATGTTGTACCAATTCAGGACCAAAATTGTGAAGAATTAAAAAACAAATACCCCTAAATTTGAAAAAAATCAGAAGAGAAGATAGCAACAAATGCAAAAAGAAAGAAAAAATAAAACCTCAAGAAATTAATGGTGATCTTTGTCAATGGTGGACTGATTAACAGTCATCTAACTTTAAGCCTGGACAAAAATGGAGGACTTTAGCATCGCTGACAACCTTGAGCAAGAGGAAATTGAGCTGTTTAGATTTAGGGAACGAGAGAAAATGACAGGATTTTTACCTTTTAGGGAATGAGAGAGACTGAAAGGATATATATAGTGAAGTGAGAGCATTTGATGTGATATTTTAAAATTTTTTGTACTATTTTTTCATCTAGTCAAATCATTTTTTAATGAAAAACATGTAGGATATTTGAATTATCTAGATGAACAAAAATGTCCAAAATTTTCCAAAATTAACAATTTTGCAAACACTTAAAAAATGTGACTTTTTTTTGTAAATGCAAAGCCAAAAATTGACTATTTTGGTAATTTTCACATATACTATTTTACATTTTAAAAAATTGGTCAAAATCATTTTTCTGTCAACTAATGGAGAAGTAGATGAATTACATTCATTGGACTCTATATGTATATTTTTGAAAGGTTAGGAACCTCCGTTAATACAAATTAAAGGTTAATGTAAAGTCTGCAAAAATTTAAAAGGTTAAGGATCGTTGCTGCAATTTTTCCCAATCTAAATTCAGCCTTTGTTTGAGTTACATTATTTTTATAAGAATGTATTTTTGAATATGTATCGATAGGAAATATGTGGTTAAAAAATAAAATAAAAATTTAAATTTGTGTGTAATATTATTTTATTAAAAAATATACTATTAAAATGATATCAAATCATTGTTTAAAAGTATATATATGTATATATTTTTTTGGAAAGGAAGTGACTCAAACGGGGCTTTAAATAATTCCTTTGTGGGGTCAGCTCGTATGTCGGCAAAACACGCTTTTCGGACCCTTTATAATAGGTAACTTTTTTAAAGCAAAAATGGCTTTATAATTCCCCTACAGTTAGTTCGCCTGCAGTTCCTCAATTAATTAATATATATATATATATATATATATATGCTTTCATACGATTTTTATCCACTTCAAAAATCTATGTCAGCTGACTCAGCTCTGATGTCGGCATCATATCTTTCGGACCCTTGAATGATTTCCTACAGCTGTTTTTCGTACAGTTCCACAACTAGTCAAGTATATTCATGACGATTTTTCGCCCTTTCAACTTACGGTACAGTAGATTAATCAAGCATGCAATGGTATGCATTTCAGTGTAAACCAGTTCCCAATACCCAATTGGATTTTTGGCTGTCCATTTCTTGATTACGACGAATTAGTAATTACAATTATTAGGAAAATTTAAGAACAGATTACAGGATTCTAATTAATCCTACAATTAATCACTCTTCCCAACCCCACTCACCCCGGAATCCAACGAACTCAAAAACCCACACACCACACACAAAATCTAAATCAGTATTGAAAAACACGCCAGTGAATTACGAGTTGAAGTTGGATCTGTTTACTACTTGAATAACAATGGGATTCGTAGTGGGTTTAGTCATTGGAGTGATTTTCGGGCTGGGTTTAGTTGTTGTTTTTGTTCGATCGGAAAATGCTCGATCCAAGCAACGCTCCGACCTTGTAAGTTGTAAATTATTTACTAGTCGTGTATGGAACATGAAATCCTTTATAGAACTGAGATTTTTTTATTTTATTATAAAAAATTTTTTGGTGGAAATTCAAAGGCTACTACAATTGCGTCGTTTGCTAGAATGACAGTGGAAGATTCTAGAAAATTACTATCACCGGAGTATTACCCTTCATGGGTTGTGTTCTCCCAGCGCCAGAAGGTTAGATTTTTATTTTTATTTTTATTTTTTTGTTCCCACTTTGTAAACTGTACATAGAACCTGCATGTAAATGTGTGAAGCAATGTAGTCAATCATTTATCTATTTTTTTATGCATTTTCAGTTGACTTGGCTTAATCTTCACCTCGAAAAGATATGGCCATATGTCAGTGAGGTATAATTTTCAGTTTATGTTTTGTATAAAAGAGTTTTTTAGTATTTTTTGATCTGTTGTGGTAAATTTTCTTAATTGAGTTTGAAGGCAGCGTCTGAGCTCATAAAGGCGAATGTAGAACCAATCTTGGAGCAATATAGACCAATGATATTGGCTTCTTTGACATTCTCCAAGTTAACGCTTGGAACTGTAGCGCCTCAATTCACAGGTTGGATTTTCGAGCATTTAATTTGATATAAAATTTTCGGTCAAGACCATTAGTTAAGCTGCCAGATTCATTCTCCTCTTTCCTTTCTTTGTAGAAACAGGGAAAAAAAAATCTTTTTTTTTTTTTTTTTTTTTTTGACATTTTATCTAACATTCTTTCAAGGTAATGTGCACATTTACCCTAGATGACATCATCATCTTATGGTTGTGGGCATTCACACAAGGAAAGATGGAGCTTGAAAGAAAGAAAGTAGAAAATTGATCGGCTGATTAAAAATTTGGTGGACAGTTCAGCCATCATTTTAGTGCCTAAAATTAGGCACACTCTCAGTTGGCATAACTAAAGTCAATAGGGTGTATGGAACCCATATATTGATGGAAGAAAATTCCAGGCTTTGAAAGGGGAGTTAATTGCCAAATATTTACACTTTACAGGGTACTAGGCATTGAGATATAGAGACAGTCCACAAGTTAGAATTTCGTACTCGTATAAAAGCTGACCATGTGGAATTCAAGGTGTTGTATGATGGATGTGTCAAGATGGATTTATCACCTCAACAATTAAAAAGTGATAATGAGATTAACCATATCAAGCTATTTTCTGGTAAAGCAAAAGGATTTCTAGTGCTTGCATTATGTCGTATCCTGAAGGACAGCAGACAGTTGATGAAATACGGGATGCTAACTTATGTTTGCCATATGAGCTAATCTAAGAATTTATCTTACTAATTGGAAGGTATTTGGATTTGGACACAGTGATTCTTCTATCTTTTATTTCTTTTTTTATTGGCCTCAGCAGTATCTTCCCTAAGGAGCTGTGTCAATAGGAATGTGTATGAGATTGCTTCTTTTATGACTATTGAAATGAAAAGATTAATGCCATTACTAATTTGTAGAGTTGTTCAGGAGTTTCCATTATTGAAGATGGTACCGAAGGTATCACCATGGAGTTAGAGATGCAGTGGGATGGAAACCCAAGTATAATTCTCGATATTAAAACTTATCTTGGTGTTGCTCTCCCTGTCCAGGTAACTTGTAGTGTCTTTATTCCCTTTTTCTTTTTTCTTTTCTTGAACTCGTGCGTTCCATCTTGTGACTAATCATTTCCTTGGTTGCTTGATCTTCCCTTAGATGAATGTATACATAATTACACGCATATTAATGCATGCAATATGTTTAGTGCATATGTGGATTCACTTAAAGTTTAAGTTTTGTCAAACTTTCATTTAACTACGAACATTTTATAAGACCCACAACTACTCACAACTACCACTTACTTATTATTCACACTTTTGGTAGGACTCACGAAAAATCCACCACTCCTTTTTCATCTACTTATTAGTTAAGTCAATTCAAACATGCACTTAAATTTAACTGTATGCCACTATTAGGCTGAATTTTATATTAGTGTCAGCAAGGAATAAATAACTTAAGCATGTAACATATTTTTGATTTTTATTAATTCGTGCCAACTTCTGAGTTCTGACTTAAAGAACCTTCCAAATCTTAGGGTCGATGTAGTGTTGTACTATGCATGAGATGCACTGCTGCACTGATAATAGTCATCCACCTATTATTCTCCATCAAGCCAATCTCCTAGTTCTCTTCTTCTCTTGTATACTCTAACTTATCCGAGTTAATTAGCATTTGTGTAAATTTTCTACTCGTACAATAGCGTTTATGTCTTGTGTATATAGACATATGTACCCATTTATTATTTGTGTAAACCCCAGTGGTCTCTTCTTCTCTTTCATATACTAACTCGGTATCAGAACGTCTTGCCTGACTACCATGGATTCTGGTGTCAAGAGTGATTCTTCTTCCGGTGGAGCTGATGCTGGTAGCAAGCTGTCTACGATATGGTCTGTGTTGCTCCGATTGCTCCTCCGACCATTCTTCCTACGCTTCTACTTGTTCCGATTAATCTAGGTGTATGAACTATAATATTTGGAGATCGCAAGTGTTCCAACATTTATGATTTGGAAGGATTTGTGACCCGATCTGTCCTCAGAAGTTCATTATGTCCAGATCTAGTGACAACGGTGAAAGTGTGATGCTACTCAACACCAATTATATGTTCTGGCTGAGGACAGATCAACCTCTTATGAGTTTGTTGCTTGGATATGTCTCTGAATCTATGTTCGGACATGTCAGCTGTGCCACCACCAGTCAGGTTTGGCAAAGGTTTGGGTGACTGTTCGTTTCTCAATCGAAGATTCATTTACTCCATCTTTGTGCTGCTCTTCTATCCACAAAGAAAGAAGATTCATCGATTGGGGATTACTTCCTCAAGATGAAGGAGATCTTCCATACTCTGCAATTTACTGGTAATCCTATAACAGATAAGGATCTATTGATGTATATCTTCAATGGCTTTGGTTCTGAGTCTGATGCTGTAGTTGTGAATCTCACATCGCATACTGAGTTGGTAACCTTGCAACAGCTCAATATATGCTGCAGCCATGAGATTAGGATGGAAAAACTGTGCTATCTCTAATGTTGACAAAAATGCTATTTATTTCCAATAACCTATTAGGTGAGATAGGCTAGGCTAGAAATATGATGAGAGTGATGAAGAGAAAAATTGTATATTCTTCTTATTGATTTACAACCCACGACCTCTACTTATAGTACAAGAACGGAAAGAATAAAAGGAAAATAATAAATCTACAATCTAGAGGATTGATTACAATATTTCAACTATGGAAATAAAAATAAATCATTTTTAAAAATAAACCAACTCCAATTATTTCTAATCTTGGTCCGATCATCTTGAGATTTCAACACTCCCCCTCAAGTTGAATCATAAATGTTGATCAAATCCAACTTGAAGATGAAATCATCGAATCTTTGTTTGGGTAGTCCTTTGGTGAAGATATTTGCAGTTTGTGCTTGTGTGGGAACATAGGTTATACAGATAGTTCTATCCTTGACCTTTTCTTTAATAAAGTGTCAGTCCACCTCCACATGTTTAGTTCTATCATGCTGAATTGGGTTAAGGAAATGTTAATCGCTGCTTTATTATCACAATAAAGTTTGATTGACAACTTCATTGTGACGTGTAATTCTTCCAAAAGTTTCTTCAACCACAGTCCTTCACACATTCTTTGTGCATCAGCTCTGAACTCAGCTTCAGCACTACTTCTGACAACTACATTCTGTTTCTTGCTTTTCCAAGTTACTAGATTTCTCCATACAAAGGTACAGTAACCTGTAGTAGACCTCCTGTCATCTATCGATCCTGCCCAATTTGCATCTATGAAAATCTCAACTTCTTTCCTTTCACCCTGTTTGAATAGTAGTCCTCTTCTCGGGGAGCCTTTGAGGTATCTGAGTATCTTATAGACAGCTTCTAGATGATTTTCTTTTGGAGCATGCATATGTTGGCTTACTAGACTGACTGCAAATGCGATGCTAGGTCTGGTGTTTGACAAGTAAATTAATTTTCCAACCAATCTTTGATATCTATCAATTTCTATCGGATTATCTCCATCTTTAATTTTATTTCCCACATCAAGCGGTGTGTCACTTGATTTACATCCTAGCATGCCAGTCTCGGTTAGAAGATCAATAGCATATTTTCGTTGTGATGTACTGATGCCTTGTCTTGATCTGGCAACTTCTATTCCTAGGAAATATCGCATTGGTCCCTAATCTTTTACTTCAAATTTAGTGGCAAGACTCTTCTTTAACCTTTCCATCTCTATTATATTGTCTCTTGTCAAAATAATATCATCCACAAATACAATGAAATTCGTTTTAGTGCCATCTTCAAATAGTCGAAGGAACATAGTGTGATTTGATTGTCCTTGATGATATCTTTGATTTTTTAAAAACTTTCGCAAATTTGTTAAATCTTACTCTCGGTGACAGTTTGAGCCCATATAAAGACTTTTTTAGTTTGCATGCCCATTTTTCTTCATTAACCTTACAAAAGCCCGGTGGTAATGTCATGAATACTTCTTCCTCTAATTTCCCATTCAAGAATGCATTTTTAACATCCAGTTATTGCAGGGGCCAATCTAAATTTGCTGCTAGTGATAGAAGTACTCGAACTGTATTCAACTTTGTCACTGGTGCAAATGTTTCTGTATAGTCAATTCCATAGGTTTGTGTATAGCCTTTTGCAACCAATCGAGCTTTATACCGTTCTATTATTCCATCACCTTTGTATTTCACATTGAAAACCCATTTGCAGCCAACGGGTTTCTTCCCTTTTGGTAAGTCTATCACTACCTAAGTTTCGAAATCCAGTAGATAAAGTATTATAGAACATGAATTTCGAAATAGAATGTAGAGTACATGACCTTGTTTGTTTTCTGAGGGCAATGGGCTGAGGATCTGGAGCTACCATCGGTTCTAACTCTTTTGGTGCTTTAGAGGTGAGATTCTTCCTGTATTTGACTTTGGCTTTCTTGAATAAACTAGTATCTCCTTATCTTGTTGTTTTTCTACATCTCCCCTTGATTCAAGTGTCCTGTCAATGACATACTAGAATCGGATGGTATAATAAGTAGGATAGGTTCAGAGGGGGCAAGACTGAGATTGAGATCAAAGAACCGATCTTCATGTACGGTCTCCCCCTGAAGAGAGGTGTTCTCAAAGTATATGGAGTGTTTTCAAAAAAAGTGACGTCAAGGCTTACAAAGATTTTTTTCGTGGAAGGGTCATAGCATTTGTTGCCCTTTTGCATAGGAGAGTACCCAATCAAAACACATTTAATGGCTCGAAGTTCAAGTTTGCTTTTGTGTTGAAGTAAACATGAAGGAATGCAGTGCACCCAAATACTCTTAAGGTTAAATCGGAAGTGAGACGAGAAGCTGGGAAGTAATTCTGAAATTTTTGGAGAGGTGTTTCGAAATTTATAGCACGACCAGGCATCCGGTTGATTAGATAGGTAGATATGAGAATGACATCTCCCCAGAATAGTTTAGGCATATTTGTTCTAAACATTAAGTCTCGAGCAACTTCTAGGAGATGTCTATTTTTACGTTCGGCAATCCCATTTTGTTGGGGAGTATTGACATAAGAACTTTAATGAATTAACCCATGTTGTCGGAGAAAGTCGCCCAGGATGTGATTGAAGTATTCATTGCTATTGTCGGCACATAAAATTTGAATTTGTGTTTGAAATTGGCTTTGAATCATGGAATGGAAGTTTATAAACACTGTACAGACATTGGATTTTTCTTTTAGTAAGTAGACCCAACAGATTCGATTGTGATCGTCAATAAATGTGGTAAACCACTTTGTGTGGGTACGGTTTGGAACTCGTGAAGGCCCCCATACATCGTTATGAATCATGGTGAAAGGTCTAGATGGTTTGTATATAGATGTTGGGAAAGATGTGCGCTGATGTTTCGCAAGTTCACATGCTTCACATTGAAAATTAGCGGACTTTTTATTCAAAAAAAATAGAAGGGAGTACACGTTTCATATATTGAATGTGAGGATGTCCAATTCTAAAATACCATAACATAATTTCACATCTCTAAGGACAGACGCAGAATCACAAATTTTAACTTGACACTGTTTACTCTCATCAGCTTGTTCAAAGTAGCAGAGTCCTTCACTTTCCTTAGCACTGTCCATCATCTTCCCCGATGATAGGTCCTGAAAGATACAATGAGATGGAAAAAATTTAGCAGAGCAATTGGAAGTTTTTGTTAACAGGCCTATAGATAGCAAATTACACGATAAATTTGGGACATGAAGAACTGATTCTGAAGTTATAAAATCAAAAAATTTAGTACTCCCTTTTCCTGCTACCATCGATAGGGAACCATTAACAATTTTAACTTTGAGATTACCCGCACATGTGGAATATGAAGAAAATAGGTGGTAGGAATCAGTCATGTGATCAGAAGCTCCGGAGTCAATGATCCAAGTTGCATTAGACTGTGTGATGGATTTTAAGGTTCTCAAGAAGTTACCTCTATGAGCCAGTGAGCTTAACGAATTATTTGTGGAGGTTTGACTTGGTGGGTGAAAACTGGATAACAATTTGTAGAGCTACTCCATTTGTTCAGGATTGAAAGTGCTAATCGACTCCTTGGATTTTTCTGCTTGATATCCACGAATTTTGTTTAGTTTTGATTTCCAATTCACCGATTTTCTGTGCAAATCCCAGTACATGTCTTCTTTATGTTCCAGTTTACGGCAATGTTCACACCAGGGCCGTCCTTTTTGTTCTCTTGGGCATTTGCTACTCCTTTTGAATAGAGGCCCATGATTTCAGGCCCGCCTCCTGAATTTTTACCCAATTCATTAAAATTTTGAGGCCCACTCTTTTTGAATCCAAGCCCGTTATTTAATAGCCCAAGATGGGAAGACCTAATCCATTTTGACGCTGAGGCTGAGCTCTCCGTCCCGATTCCAGTTGAGTCCGATCACTGGCAGCTTCCAACATGATTTTTTGCCGGTTTTCTTTGCGTCGGGCCTCTGCAAAAACTTCCCTCATTGACGGCAAAGGCTTCGGACCGAGAATTCGTTCCCTAACGTCATCAAGATCTCGATTCAACCCTGCCAAAAACTCGAACACCTGCTCCTTTTCCAGTTTTTTCTTAAACCATGCGCTGTCTCCTGAACATTCCCACTCCTCTTTAGAGCACAAGTCAAGTTCTTGCCACAAACCTGCCATCTCAAGGTAGTATTCTGTGACATCTCGTTCCCCTTGTCTTGTTTGCCAAAGTTTGGTTTTGATTTCAAAGATTTGGAACGAATTTTTGGAATTTGAGTATGTCTCTTTTACTGCATCCCACACGTCCTTCGCTGTTGGTCGGAAAAGATAGGTCTTCCCAATGGATGGTTTCATCGAGTTGATTGACCAAGCAGTCACCATCTCGTTCCCCTTGTTTTGTTTGCCAAAGTTTGATTTTGATTTCAAAGATTTGGGACTAATTTTTGAAATTTGAGTATGTCTCTTTTACTGCATCCCACACGTCCTTCGCCGTTGACAGGAAAAGATAGGTCTTCCTAATGGATGGTTTCATCGAGTTGACTGACCAAGCAGTCACCATGAAATTTTCTGACCTCCATTTTTTAAGAAGGGCCGTGTTGGTTGAGGCTGGCTTTGTCGTTTCACCGGTGAGGTAACCCAATTTCCCTTTTCCATCAATTATTAGTTTGATTGACTGAGCCCATTCACGGAAATTCTTCCCATTCGATTTTTCAACTGTTAGTTGGGAGGATGAATTTTCTGCCGATTTTATGGCAGAAGCAGTTTCAGAATCGCCATTGAAATAATCAGAGGAGGTGGATCCTCTGCTGTTGGCGGTGGTTTCTAACATGATTAGGACAATTTCATGGCTTTGATACCATGAAGAGAAAAACTGTATATTTCTTCTTACTGATTTACAACCCACGACCTCTACTTATAGTACAAGAAATGAAAGAATAAAAGGAAAATAATAAATCTACAATCTAGAAGATTGATTACAATATTTCAACTATGGAAATAAAAATAAATCATTTCTAAAAATAAACCAACTCCAATTATTCCTAATCTTGGTCCGATCATCTCGAGATTTCAACAAGTGAGTTCCCATTAGAAATTGATCAGGAAGGATTTTTGGTTCTTGCTTGGGTGTAGGAGATTCAAAAGAATTAGTGGGATTTACAGCTCAATTTAAAGACCCAAAATCACGTAGCTTATGAGAACTAATTAGTCCTTTTTACTTTCTGTAATTGGAATGGCATTGTAGTTTGTTAACTAAAATTTATATAGAAAGACTATCTGGATACAACTTTATGTTCTAAGGAATTTGAGAATATATCTTCTGGATGCCCTATTACTGGAATATTGGCTAGAGGGTACCATAGAAGAGGAAAGGGTCATGTAGAAGCACTGGCAAGACGCTAACATGAAGGTTAAATGCTATAAGCTGGTACACGAGCTATGAGATATAATTCAATGTGAGGAAATTTGTTGCATGCATTTATGCTGCTTTATTTACAAGTACTTCAGTAAGATATGAGATTGCCAAGAACCTCTTTAGGATGGGGACTACAGAGAGATCAGAATGATTATGTGCTAGAGATGATTGTCTACTTGATTAGTTGGAAGCTTTCGATGTTGACATGGATACAAGATTGTACCTGTCATATCCCTCTCCCTAAACCCTAAACCGCACTATTTAAGCTTCTAACATCTGCATTTTTTCCTTTGATATTTTGGTTTAACAAAAAAAATAACTGTAACTATCTCAACATGTTTCCGGGATTTTTCTATAATAAAGTGTGTTATAGCTTTGTTAATAGGAATTATTTTAACCTATCTTTTTTTCTCTTTATAGGTGAAAAATATTGGATTTACTGGGGTTTTCAGATTGATTTTCAGACCGCTAGTTGATGAATTGCCTTGTTTTGGAGCTGTATGCTTCTCATTGAGACAAAAGGTGCTGTATTTTCTATTATGAGATTCTTCAAGCAAAAAGTTAGTTGCATATATGCTACAAGGAGAAATTCTAGTTTGAAATGCAGCTATACAGTAATATCTCTTGGATACACTGCATACTCCTTAATATTTGATCAGAAATGACTTTGTTGGTTGTAGAGCAATTTTATGACCACTCATGTTGCTGCATATGTAAGTTAACAAGTTTGCTTTCGGGCATGAATAAATAAATCAAGATGCTAACTATTTCATTCTTTTGACTTTCAGAAAAAGCTGGATTTTAAGCTTAAAGTTATTGGTGGTGATATATCAACTATACCTGGCCTTTATGATGCCATTGAGGTCCGTAATATCTTTTTTTTATGAATACCATATGATTATTAGAATATATTCTGTGTGGATGGAGATTGTATCAGCCCTGAATGCCTTAAACTAGTGCGATCATGTGAACCTTAACTGTTATGGGTTTTGAGCCTATTATGGAGATTGTATTAGCTCATTGTTGCAAGAAACAATGGAAGTAACATTTAAGAAAATTGCATCTGTGGGATAAATGTGATCAGGTTGGTCATCGTTGAATTGAGATATTTATCAATTCTATATAATGATCATGTATCAATCTTTACACTGTGAGATATGTTATCCTAGTACTAGAGTTTCAGTAAAAAGTGTTGCAAGTAATGCTTTTTGTCTCCTAAAAAATATGTTTTCCTTATACTGAAGCTTAAATAATAAGTGTTACATTTAGCATATTATATTATTATGTTTTTTATTTGGAAAAAAACTTACAATTGTGTATATATATATTTATAAACTTGGAGTATACAGTATTAATGTATTTTTATATACTACAACAAGGGGTTATGATTAGCTTATAAGGTGAAAGAGTAATACAAAGAATGAAGAGAGATTAAACAAAATGTTAAAGTAACAATTTACTTTTTGCTTTAATAAGTAAGTAATATTATTACAATATTGTATTGGGTGAATTATATTTCAATATAATTTCAATAGATATATTAAATCACTTGTGTTTTTCGGCATAGAACTTCCACAAACATTTTTTTTTTAGCCAGGAACATAGAGAAATGGCGCACAAGGATTCATGTAGAATGACCCAAATTAACTGGGAATAAGGCTTAGAACATGTTTGGGTGCTTACTTATTTCCTTATAGGGAGAGAGAAAACGTACTAGTCTCTGTACTTTTTCTCTCTCCTTACAATTAAAAAAAGCAAGCATCCAAACATGTGAGCTGTTTAATTCAGTATAAGAAATTTAATAACCTGTATAATTCATATTTTATGGGAGTTAGGTTGCCTATATTGTTGTTTGAAGTTTAATAAAATTATCCTGTATTGCTGTTTCACAGAGCATGATAAGGGATGCTGTTGAAGATTCTATTACATGGCCAGTTCGGAAAATTATACCTATCTTGCCTGGAGATTATAGGTAAGACAATTGTAAGAATTCAGTGTGTTGCCCCTTTTTTGTTATGTTCATAACAAACAACTAAGCTCAATCCCAATAAATTTGAGGTTGATTACTTAAGAGCGTGTTTGATATGGATTAAAATTTGATTTTAATCTAAGTCAAAGTCAAACAATCAATATTAACAACATCTTTCATGATCCCACAACTTTTCAACCACACATTTCAAAAACTTTGTCACAATCTACTAAAAAATCTAATTTTAATCCCTACTAAACACCCTATAAATCTTTTTTTACCACTATGTTCAATCATCACTGCATCCATAGATATGTCTTGTTAAATTTAGTCTACTTTTTCTAACTAAATCTAATGTCTGTACAACATAAACAAGTAAGACAATGTGAAGGTTAAGCTGCTTGAGAGGAGATGTGTAGATGTCATTTGATCTTTTTGGGCGAGATCCCTTTTTAAGCAGATCCCTTTTTAAATAATGGGGATTTAGTGCCTTTCTGATCTTGAACGCTTGCTGATTATTTCTAACTTAACTCAATTATTAACTTTTGGTATCCAAAACTCTCTTCAACTACAAGTGAGTTTCCAATAATAGATCATAGTAACAATAACAATGTTGATAGTAATAAAAATGACCAGCACAACTATAAGATTGAACGCAACAAAAATAAAAATGATATTCTTATCCATGGATTTTTGGTTGTTCATCTGTGGATTTGAACTAAATCCTGAATCTGCTGGGTCATGGTAGTTTTTATTAATGTTCATTGTTTTTTTCAGTGACCTTGAGCTCAAGCCTGTAGGAACTTTGGAGGTGAAACTTGTGCAAGCAAAGGAGTTGACTAACAAAGATATGATTGGGAAATCTGATCCTTATGCTGTGATATATGTGCGACCCTTGCGCGATAGGATGAAGAAAAGTAGGACTATTGTAAGTTGTTATTCTGGTTCCTTTAAAGAGTTCACTACCATCCTTTCTATCTATTCATAATCAAGTTACTTCCCTTTATTCTCTTCCCCCAGAACAACCAGTTGAATCCAGTCTGGAATGAACATTTTGAATTTGTAATTGAAGATGCATCAACACAGCACTTGGTAATAAAAATCTATGATGATGAAGGGGTTCAGTCATCTGAACTAATTGGATGTGCTCAACTTCAGATAAGTGATCTCGAGCCAGGTAAAGTGAAGGACGTGTGGCTGAAATTGGTGAAGGATTTGGAAATTCAGAGGGACAATAAAAATAGGGGGCAGGTAAAATATCCCTTTCTCATTACTTCAATTATTATATTTTTCTAGAAATATTACTACTATTTCATAACTTGGGGGGAAATCTATTCCTGCTTTGGAGTAGTTATCATGTATGTGAGGGTGGCTAAGAAAATTGTTAACTTAAACTTGTCATTTTTATTCAATGAATGGTGCATGGAAACACCTTAAAAGTTCTCATCTGAAATCGCACAAACTTTCTGGACGGTGAATAGATTATGACTACGTCTACCATAATCAAGAAAAACACTTTCTGTTTAATGATCTTAAAAGTCCTACCCTTCAAAATTATTAGGTAGTTAAATAAAATTAAAAAAACATTTAGTGATGTGGTGATCAATATTTTTTATTTTTCATTTTTTTGTTAAGTTGATTTTGTTATGATTGTATTCTCATGATTGGCTCTGTAACTTGGATTGAATATGCGAATCTCTATTTAGGTCTCCTGTTAATATCGTGTATTGTGCTTGGTTGGATAAAATTATACTGAGATTATAATGAATTAGGTGTCCCTCGAAATGTGTGGATAATAAGTAGGCAGCAATTGTGATTTATATTTAAAGTTTGACATTGACTTGAAATTAAAAGGATATTATAATTTTAGATCTACAAGTCGATTGTCCATTTATTCTTCCTATCAAACAAAGATAAGTGGTTGTGCTTCTCATCATTTTGCTAGTAGTCTTCCAAACTGCTACAAGAACCTTCCAACTGATAGGCATTTATGTGGAATTTTCGTAATTCGTTCATATTCATATACACAACTAGTCATTTTAGCATGTAAACTGATATTTTGTGGACAAAATGGACTATTTCAGGAAAGTAAAATCATTTACATGGCATCTCAGTTTTGCTAGTGTTTGGATCAACATGATGCCTGACATAATAATAGAATAGTCATCCTTTTTTTAAGCTCCATTAAGACATTTAATGTCCTAAACTCCCATTTGATTGAGATATTCCTAAGAAATTCAACCCTCTTAGTCTGGACCAAGAATAATCAATCCTTTTAAACTTTTAGATGATGTGGTTTAACATGTATTGAAGTAGGTAGAAGTAATGAGTTCAAGTCTTGCCGCTCCCCATTCGTAAAAATTGTGCTCGTCCGGCTACACGTGATCGGGTGTATTGAAGACTAAATCTAATTAAATAAACGTGTCTCTCTATCAGCTTAAGCTCTTACTAGTGTCAGAATTGTGAAGTAAAATGAGAAATAATTGCTTCAAATTCTATTACATTATATAGAAATATATACTTATAAGATATTTTATCAAAAAATATGAAAAAATAATAATTCTGAATTGACATGAACCTCTGTTTTTTCTTTCTTTATATCATGACTTTTTCAGGTGCAGTTGGAGCTTCTTTATGTCCCTAATGGCATGGAAAATGGATTTGCCAACCCCTTTGTGCAGAATTTTTCAATGACTTCCTTGGAGAAGGTTCTTAAAAGTGGTAATGAAGGAAAAGAATTAGTTGAAAATGGTAGTGAAATCAAAAGAAGGGAGGTAATTGTGAGAGGGGTACTTTCTGTCACTGTGATATCAGCTGAAGAGTTGGCACCTGCAGACCTAATGGGAAAAGCTGACCCCTACGTGGTACTTATTATGAAGAAAACTGAATCAAAAAACAAAACCAGGGTATATTTCTCCTTAATTTTACTGTTGACTGGAATATCTCGCATCTACCATGAAATTGGTCCTCTTTTTATCCCATATGAACCCTTGCATTTCATGCATGAGTTATTTCACTTTGGTTACTGTGTTTTTATTGTATGTTTGCTTTCGATAGATAGTAATATGCTCTTTTGAATCAACATGTCAATTACTTGATTTTTATGTCTTCTTATTTTTACAGGTTATGAATGACAGTTTGAATCCTGTCTGGAATCAGACCTTTGACTTTGTTGTTGAGGATGGATTACATGATATGTTAATCATAGAAGTCTGGGACCATGACACATTTGGGAAGGTATTTTTCATTTCTTTCCTGTAAATTTGATGTTTCCAAATTAATTTTGAGGTGGTGAGTTATATGGATCAAGATGGATAAGAAGTAAATGGACATTAGGCAGCACCAGCTCTTTGTGCTTGCAAACCTTAGTGTACATCATAACTCTCCTATAACGAATGAGGAGATCTATATTTGAAAAAGGATCTGAATATTTTTCTAACACAAAGAAGAGGCCAGAAAACGATAAAATTACTAAGTAAAGAAAATTGCAGTGATTGAAAGAAATGGACATTAAATGACATGAATGGGAATTTTTTCACCTCTATTAGTAATTTTAAATTGTATTTGAGAAGCACCATGAGAGTGCAACCACTCTGCTAAAGGATTTAAAGAGTATTCACATCTATGAAGGAATGGCAATAGGGCGGGTATTGGGGTGACATTCCCATCATTCATCTCGTCGGGTATTTTTTGTCACTTTGCCCTGTTCTCATGCCCTGTTAAAGCCAGACGAGACGCCCTACTGCTGTTTATCGCCTTATTTTTTACGCCTATAGTTAGTAAATATTATCATTTTATTATTATTATTATTTTTATTTTTTTGGGGCTTAAGAACAACCCAAGTTCTTTTTAAAAATGATGATAAGTCTTTTCATTTTGTTTGATAAAAAACTTAAATTTGAATTTAACTTTAAATGGACAGGTAGTGGGCAGGGTGGGGATCATGTTTCTCGTACACTCCCCGTACTCTCTTTAGGGCAACGACTCGCTCTGCCTTGTTTACCCAATTAGGTAGGTCATCCCCGCTCCATTCAGGACAAGGGTCGTGGATATCGGATTGAACAGAATTTTTTGCCATCCCTTCATCTACTCATTAATCTATTAGATCATCATACACATTTAAGCCCATGATTGGGCTCCATTTTAATTTTAATGCAATTTTCTCTTTTTTCTTTTCAATCATACGTTTTTTAATAAAATAATATTACAAGTAAACCCAAAGCTTTTCAACCACACATTTTTTAAAACATCACCATTCCAAAATACATTTTTCCCTAAAACCTCATATGGAACCCAAACAAGGGCTAAATTTATGGCTAATGAAACTAAACTCTCATATTTAGCTATTTAGCTGTTTTCCTACTTCCAAGTTTGCAAACATAGCTACTAGGCATTTTAACTTTAGATCATAGGCATACTTTTCAATCTACACCGATGGACTTGGTTGATTTTATTTTTTATTTTTTTTTTTGTGAAAAACCTAATTAATACTAGCAATTGAAACAGTAATAGCTTATTATATTGTTGGTCTCATTAATATTACAGTTAGGGACTTCTTGAAGAGCCAAATGGTAAGATTTTTGATGCATTACAATTGGTGAGTGATGAGGATCTGCATCATTTTATCATAATACATTTAAGTTGGTGAAGAGTCCTCAAAAGAGTGAGACTTTCGTGTGGATTTAATCGTTCTACCCTTTTAACAAATGAGTTATTTTACTTCTATTTCTTCCCATCTCAATATCGACTGCAAGCATGGACTCCTTATAGATATGGATGGTATCCTAATATCTATCTAAAATGAGCCGCCCTGCTACTTGTATATACACCTCCTATCGGTATACTTTAGCCTGTTTGACCAATTACTAATTTTTTCTGCCAAACAAGTTCGAGGTATTTCAGATTTTACATTTTTCGTTTTTGAATTTTCAGCACAAAATCTTTCTTTTTCTGACACCAAGTCTTTACTTGCAAAATAAGCGAGTTTTCTTTTTAGCATGGTCAAACATGCTGTTACAAATTAATTCTTTCTTTGACTGCAGGATTACATGGGAAGATGCATTTTGACACTGACAAGGGTTATATTAGAAGGCGAATATAAAGATACCTTCCCGCTAGACGGTGCCAAAACAGGAACGCTCAACTTGCATCTCAAGTGGAATCCGCAGCCCATTTACAGAGTCACCTAGTGCCCATCCAATGGACAATAGTTAATACTATTGGGTCATGTGAATTGAATTCTGAGCTCTATATAAGTAGTGTACGGAGGACGTACCAAAACTCTACCCAGCAACATTGGTTACCAAGCATTGAGACAGTATATTGTAGATTAAATCTTTGTGTATGTAAAGATCGTATATAACTCCAGCTGTGTGTAGAGATGGTGTAAAAATCTGCAGAAATGTCACTATGGTTGGGGAAGAAAATTGAATGCAAGGTGGAGATTTGGCGGGAATTGTTGTATGAGAAGGTGTTAAACTTAGTGTATCCTAGGCCAAGCAAGAATTTTTTAACTTCGGTGCCGTTTGTTTGTCTATATTGTGATTTTAAGCCTTGTTTGACAATCGTTATTTTGAAAAAACCACCCCTCAAAGCCAATGAGATGAGTACCCGACTGTAAACTTCAGGGCTACGTGAGATTAGTCGAGGTGCGCATAAATTGGTCCGAACACTCACGATCATTTAAAAAAAAATTTATTTCGAAAAAAAAAAGTTTTGAATAATGATTTTTAGGAAAATGTATGGTTAAAAAGTAGGAAAAAGTTTTGGGTTTATATATAGAATATTTTATTGAGTAAATGTGCGGTTGAAAATGAGTGTAAAAAAAAGTGTTTCAAAATAATAATTGTTAAACGATGGCTTAATAATGCTTAATAACTATTCGACTGGTGTGAGTGGCGGGCCCGAATATAGACGAGATAGGTGATTGTTTAAGGCCCTGTTGTGATGAGGGCCTTCAATTATGTAAAATTAAATAGTTAGTTGAAGAAAAACGAAAATTATGTGTGTGAAATTCTTTAAAATAGAATTATCATATGTAAGCACAAAAATCTTTTTAAAAAAAATAAATATAAATGGCATAAACTTATTTCTTACATTTATTTATCACATAAATATATCACAAACATTACTTTTTCTCTATATGATTAATTTGATCCTTTTATCTCCCAAACATTCCTCTTTTTCTTAACAAAACAAAATGTCTTTTTCTCCTCATAGTTCATGTCCAATAGTCATCTACCATAATTTTTTTAACCAAAATTTTTTTAACCTAAGAATAAATAAATTATCGCCGCTTAAATTAAAATTTTGACGATTCAATTTAGCAGATTGGTCTCGTCTCACTGTCATTGTTACAGTCTTATATGTTTCTTTCTTTCTTCCTTATCTTCAAAATATATACTATGGAGTATATATGCTGTGATTATTATTGTTTTGCTCTAATATTATGTAATAGCCTTTTTAGACGTTTGTTGAAAGTACTTTGAATTTAATAATTCTTTATTTGTGTTCATACTTCTTATTTGTAAGTTAATTTCTTATAAATTAATATAAAATTAGAAACTCATTTGTATTCGGTCGTTATCTTCATTATTTTGTTACACTATCATTTGCAGTCAACATTATCTAATTTTGTATATAAATCACTCAAATAAACGCATGCATTTTTATTTGAAACAGTTGTAGTGAAAAAATGATTAAAGAAACAACATACCCCTTTGCCATTGCATTATAATTCTATTTGCCAAACTTCACTTATAATTTATATTGAATGCTGAAATTTGACATTTTATTTTTTTCTTCGAATTTGGGGACTTAGTTGTCTGTATTAAATCTTCATAATTATATTAAAACTCTTTGTAGAAAGGCTCAAAACATCAAAGCCCATATTTGAAGTTCGCATAAGGCTCCCAAAATATCAAGGCTGGTCCTAACTGGTGTAACTAGCAGTTTCTGAAGTTGCAATGCTTCATGGATGCGAATCTATCATCACATTCATCATTTTGTAGGAACGTATAAGAGGGCAAATATATCACAAAGTTGGCCTTTAATTCATCACATTCCTTGGTGTTCATAGGTTTATTATGCTAAAACACATATAACAAGCACACCTTCCATTAAGCTCGAACCAAAACAAGTCCGAACTTGCTATACGTTTAATTTCTTGCTAATCGGACCGAAAGGTGTCCCATCATCTTTTGACATCAACAATTTCTATAGTTGAAGAGTACCCCCAAAAAGTGTCATGTTCACTTTTAGCTACAGTATTTGACCTCGATGCATTTGTCACTTGTCAAATTAATGATATGTAATTGGTGGATCAGGTCGTAGGTTTGCAACCTAACTTAAGAGACATGTATGATCTTCGTATTGCCACTGTGTATCGAGATTGTGGGTCATTAGCACGGATATGGTCCCTCTATGTTCCACATCGGAGCCTTGAGGACAACAAGTGTCTCGCTAGTCTGCGCCTAACCCAAGCAATGACCAAAGTATGTTGGGGTTCGTCGTGCTGCCATGGTGCTAGACAGCTGTTGCACAATTCCCAATTATTCGCCATGCGGCGACCATCCAACAGGTGTCTGGTTTGTCAAACGAGTAGACACCCCTTGCCTGAGTTGCTATTTCAACCACGATCCTTAGAGGCCAGATCTTTAAATTTGGACTTTGCTCCACCATTTTCCTTTCATTTTTATCTAAGCGTCCCATTTTGTATCATTTTCGAGGAGAATCTAGCGAGTTAACCACGGTGAAGTTTTGTAGTTAGTTTGCGACAAGAGCGAGCCTCAGTTATGCCTAAGGTAACTTGTTTTTACAGTTGTGACTTGACATTGATTTTCTTCCCCTCTCTCTTTATCTCTATTTTCTTTTATATCATTCCTGGTGAGGATGAGTTCGAAAAAGAATGTTCCCAGTGCATATCATGGGCTAGAGTTCGGGATGAGGAGGGACGAAATTTCTGCGATGGAGGCTGAGAGGTCAAAAGGTAAAGAGACTGAGCCAAAATCAAATTTCTACTAGTTAGCATTTGCATCAAGGTTGTCGAGGTCGAACCAAAGCATAAGATACCTCGATAATTGAAGCAACATCTAATAGCAAGCATGCAAGACCCTAACACTTTGATTAAAGATAATTTAAAGCCTCATTCAAACGGCGAAAATAAAGGCCTTACATGGTCTCGGACATAGACGTCATTTTAAGTATGCATTTTGATATGCTCATGTCAACATAATATTCCGTGCAAACCTATGAGCGTACATAACAAGTGTCCTAATACCAAAAATTTAACAATGATATTAGAACTTGAACTTAATCTCACGACTTTTAGCGTAATGATTAGTATGTCCACTCTAAAAAAAAAAAAATTAAAAATCCCTAAAATTGTCTATAAAAGGTTATTAAAAACAAGAAAATGGTTGAAAATCAAAAGCTTAAAATTTTAAAGAAAGAACAAATTTAAAGATTCAATATTCTACTCCAAAAATCCGTCTTGGATCAAGGCAAAAAGTAGGGTTTACACTCTTGGAAATCTTAGCATTCTCAAAACTCACCCAATGAACCCAAAAAATTGGGTAAAACCCCGCCAAAGTTCTGGTTAGGAAAACTCTACTAAAAAATGTTCCGATTTTTTGATGTCAACAACCTTGCCGACTAATGATGACTTGATGTTTGATATTTATTTCATTTATGATATTTGATCCAAAGGTGCTACTTTGTGCTCATTTTTCTATTTTGTTTATCCATATAAGAGTTTATTATTGAGCATAATGTCATTTTCTATTATTACTTAGGTTTGAAAATTATTGTATAATATAATGAATTTTTGAGTTGGTAGAACTAGGTTGTAATTGATGCGAAACATACATATTTTAAACATCAATCACTTAGCCTATGTGCAAGAATAGTTTGTAGGTTTGTTAACTTTATAGAAGTTGAATATGTGTTGATTTCATACGTAAATTAAATGTTTGGAGTGATTTTAATAGGTGAAACTAGGATTGACCATATGCTAGTGGTCTAATTCCCACTATTCGTCCTAAAATGCATTGCACTAGCCATGACAAAAAAAAGAGGAAAAAAAAAAACATCCTCATTGCGAAGCTACCTCTTAGAAATCCTAATGTGGACACCAAAAAAATTCAAAAACAAAAAAAAACTAATATAATAACAAAAGAATGCAAGTTTCAAATAGGAATAAAAGCATGTTTATGAAATAGAAGATGCATTGGGAGGACTGTGTATTGGATACTAAATATGAAAATTAAAGATAACATGTAGGTTTGACTTAATTAAAATATGATGGCTAGGGCACTGAAAATAGAATCTTAGTGTGACTATGTAATTACTTCTATTAATTTGATCCAATCGGACATGAGAGGTAAGTAATAAGTGTACTATGGACAACCTTTATAAATAACTGTTGGTCCCAAACATTATTATTTCGTAATTTTAGAAACAATTTTTAATAAGAAAACTCAAAAAATTGCAAAAATGTAAATTGCGAAAAAGAAAAATAAGAGAAGATATGTTTTGCTCCAAAAGGAGCCCGGATGTTCAGTTCAAAGAACCTAATCACCCGTTGAGCCTCAGTCAAGAGTATGCTCGAGATTCCACTAAGTATCAAAAAGAAATCGTACAAATGTTCGAAGAAATCAGAGATTTCTTCGTTTATCTCGCCTCCTTTCACACAACTTCTCTCTCAAACAAGATCATACAGATCACTCAACATTTCTTTACAGAATGAAAGATTACAATACAAAGAATTTCAGATTTTCAGAGAGAATGAAAACCACGAAGAAGAAAACCTCACACAGAGAGAAAGAGAGTACACGAGAAAAATCTAGAGAGTAACTAAACCGTTCAACCGCAAAAGACTAAAGGACCAAGGTAGATATCCGTTCAAGTGAATAATTGATCCAAGGGTTGGGGCTGTGCCACGTGTACGGCACAGCCCAACCCTCATAGGAGGCAAAAACATTTTTTCGACAAAAACACGTTTTTATAAAATAGGTTTGGGCCTGACTTATTTTGCAAAAAACACGGTCCAAAGAAATTTGAGGCAGCCCAATTTTCAACATTCTCCACCTTGCTGAACAATTTCTTTGTTTCACCAAGTGGATTCAAGCTTCACTTGACTTCATTCGCTCTTAGAACCTGTAAAGAAGAAAAATATGAAGTTAGTTTATTTTTCAACAAAAGAAATTTTGAATATCACTTGAACAATATTTTAAGTGATGTTCAGAATCTTCAAACAGTTCATAAATTTACTTAATGTCAAAATTTTTGTTCCCAAGTCAGAACGATTAAATTCTGTAGGGATTTTAACAAGACTAATCACACCCTCTTCAACCATATTCCTTACAAAATGGAATTTTATATCAACATGCTTTGTTCTATCATGATAAACTGGGTTTTTACTTAAATGAATGGCACTTTGGTTATCAGTATGAACAGCAACAGATTCATTTTCAAAACCAATTTCATTTAGTAATCCTCTTAACCATATGCTTTCTTTTACAGCATCACATGCTGCTA